AAAAACAAACAAACAAAAAAAATGGCAGGTGGAGAAAGGCCTTCCTCATGGCTGTTACCACCCCATTCAGAAAGAAGGAACAGCTGTGAAGCCACTCTTAGGAAAGACCAAGAAGGAACAGGAACAGGACCGCAGCACTTTTTATTTACTTGGAGACAGGGTTTTGCTAAGTTGCTAAGTTGCCCAGGATGGGTTCAATTTTGCAATCCTCAGTCTTCTGAACAGCTGGGATTACAGGCATGTGCCAGCACACCCAGCTTGGAGTATTTAGGGGTGACAGGGACTCTGCAGTTTCCCAAGGGCTCTGACAGGAGGGAGAGAGGGAAGAGAAAGGGGGAGGGAGAGAGTTCTTGCCACTGTACTAGGAACTTTTCTGTAACTGAAATTACTTCAAAATAAAAACTGTAGTATCACTTGAAAGGTTAGATTCTTAGGAGCTGAGCTGGCAGGAAACAAAGCAGGAAGCCTTGCAGGTGCCTCACCAGCCTGGTAGTCGTAGAGTGCGATGGCTGTGATGCCCAGGTCATTCTCATATTCATCATAGGTGTTCTCCTCTGAAAGGTAACGAGGGACAGCTGAGCACCAGCTGAGGTCCCCATGTGCACCTCCCCACTGTAGCTGCTTTTCACACAATGATTCCCAAGATTTGGGATGTGAACACTTGCTAGGAAAGAATCTCAGTGAGCAAGTTCCAATCTGAGGGTGGCAGGGGTAGGAAATTAAGCACCTTCTGGAAACAGAAGAAAGGACTCCAGCTTTCACTAGGAAGTCCATTGACTCCCAGCTCTGACACCACCCAGGGAACACTGCTCTCCTGACAAGTATCTCGACTATTTTCAGAGTGCAACTTTTAAAACACAAAATGTCCAGCACCGTCAGATATCTAGCATCTGTGCTCTCAGACGGAGTGGCTCCTGCTCTCCTACCAACCACACTGCTCCACGTGGGACAAGAGGCTTGGGTTAGACTGGACGTACTACAGGAAACCTCAGTTTTAAAGGACAACAAGCCCAAATGTAGTGTTCACCTAAGTCAGTGACGGCAAACCTTTTAGAGGCTGCCCAAACTGTAAGCCAAAGCCCACTTATTTATCACAAAGTGCCAACACTGCAATTAAACCTGAATAGAGGTTTCAGTTTAGAAAAAATAACTATTATCCACCATTCGGCTGCTGGGGTGACTTGGCTTGGGTGCCAACAGAGGGCTCTACATGAGCTCTGCATGCCCACCGCAGCACGCATGCCTTCGGTTCGCCACCACTGACCTAGCTCAAGCTAAGAAGGTGCTGTCATTCAGGCCACCCTGCAGCAGACTGGCACTCAATGTCCAGAGGACATGCCATAGCAGCAGAAGCCCCCTTTCTGGCTCCAGCCCTGCCTCCCCACCCCAGAATAGCAGGGACTTTCCCAGGACTGATGCCACTGGGGACTACTGTGCCTAGAGCCACTCCAGCAGTGATGAAGAGTTCAGGGGCAGGAGGTGGGGTGGGTGCACAGGAACCCTGAACACATTCTTTATGGGGGATAAAGCTGGTAGGGTTTCTTAGGGAGCCGCTCCCCCAGGAAGAGCACAGGAATGGGGGCACAGTACCTGCTTGGTAGTGGCCCGAGGCCTCGGTGGTGTCATAAACGGCATCCGGGGCGTAGGCCAGGCCCTGCTGGCTGCTGGCCTCTGGGTAGCTTGTGGCTTCAGTACTGTACACAGGCTCAGGCTCGCTCCCGCTTGCAGGACCTCTGTGGCTCAGCTCTGCCTTAAAGGAGGCTGCATCCTGGGAAGGGTCAAATGGACATTTCCTGTGGCCTGGGCTGGCATCTGAAAAGTAGCAGCTACACTGCCAATGCCAACTGAAACATAGAGACTTATTTTTTAGCCTCAGCTGGGATTGAGGAAACAGACAGATCAGGAAGGCATCAGCTGCAAGTCCTGAGTGACCTCTCCTCCAGGGAGACCCAGTCCTTACCCCCAACACTCCCAAATCCTGAAGGAACTGAAGTCTACCCTTCCCAGAAGGAACCACACACCTCCCCACCCTGCATCCCCATGCTCGAGTCGGTCCATCATGAGTCGAAATTAACTGGCCTGTTTGTATTTAGGCCTCAGGTGTCTGTCCTTCTGTCTGGTGCTGCCCACTAGCGCCAGCCAGTGGCTTCCTATTCACCCCAGCACCCTGCCTGGGGCAGCCATGCTGGTGAACAACAAAGTTCTGTTCTAACCAAGTCCTCCAGGCAGAGTAAGGCAAGGGTACCACCAAAGAATCACAGTCGACAAAAGTACTCACTCAGAGGAAATAAAACACCTTGCAATTTTTTTTTTTTTTTAACCAGGGATTGAACTCAGGTCCTTGCGCTTGTGAGGCAGGTGGCGGAACCACTGAGCTAAACCCTCGGCCCTGTAATTTAAATCAGTATGACTTCTGAGCCCTAACAGACATTCTGAACTACACATTAACACTGGCTTCAAAGTTTCTGATCAAACATCCTCTGTGGGTCACAGAAAGTGAGGCAGGCGGTTAGGAATGGCACTTGCAGGATGCCGCTGGGAGGGCCTGGCTTTCTCTGGAGGGTGACCAGGCAGCAGGAGCAGGCCAGTGATCAAAGAGAATGGGTGATCAAAAATAGCATCTACCTCCAGGACAGGAAATGGGGACCACAAAAGTGCAATGAAGACAGCAGTTTCCTCCTGGCAAAGTGCCCTGAACCAAGGGGAGACTGCAAGGTGTGTGGATGCCCTGCTGGGCCCGGCTCACCAAACTTTCCACATAGCACCTCCTTCCCCACACCCTCTCCCGGCCCCAGCAATGCTGCCAATCACATGATCCACTTCGTCCCTAGGGACAGCAAGCCATCAGCCTCATCAAAGGACCAGCTTCTCAGTGTGTGGTCCAGCCAGAGCCAATGACTGGCCAAGCGCAGCTCAAGGCTGCCCTGCTCATGCAATAAGGAGCTACAAGGCCATATCCACCGTATCTGCCATGTGGTCTGGCAGGATAAAACCACCACATGAGCTAAGTGGCAACAGTAGCCAAAGAGACAGGGTCCCAGCAGTGGCAAGACCAGGTCTCCACATCTCTGCAGCTCTTCCCGGCCCGTGACCTCCCTGTGTCTGTAGTCTTCAGGAGCTGCAACCCACTGCCATAAAAATGATGGCATCTAGATGAAAGAGGAAATGTGTGGCCCAGCAGTGGCTATGGGGGAAACAGGACATGGGCCATGGTTCACCGGGTAGGGGTGCAGGCACCATGGGAGAGCACAGGAGATGTCAGACAGGTCAACACCACAGGCAAGACTGGTCTATGTGAGGCACCAACGTGGCACACAGGGAGGTGTCTAAAAACATGACACCGGGGCCACAGGACTGACAATGGGCTGTGTCTTGGTGCCAAGGGAGGATGGGAGTTCCCAGAAAGAAGCTCAAAAAACAGCACAGAACTAGTGAAATAAGACCATCATGATTGAGCATTTGGCACCCAGCGGTGGGAACATGGTGATCTGACTGCAGGGGGCTGCAGAGAGGTGAGGAAAGGTGGCAGGGAGAATGCCTCGCTCCAGGGCTGCCATCCCTTAGACTCTGCGACACCATGCTGCATGGTAGGCCAAACATACATGCTGGCACCACAGAAAGTCAGAGACTCCTTTACAAACCAAACATAAACACCCACCTCATAGATGGGACTGGAAGGCTGCCTCTCCTCAGCCCGCTGAGGAGTGGGGGATGCAGGAGGTGTTTTGGCTTTGGCTTGCTCCTACAACAGAAAAACAGCAACCAGAAGGTTACCTATCAACCAGCCCAGAAAGTCACATCTGCCTCAACGGCACCATCATCACCAGAGGAAGGTGCCCTAGCCTGAAGCATGGGCCTGACACAAGAGCAGAAAATACCATGCATCCTGGGCAAAGGAGAAGCAGCTGCATCAAAGGAAGGTCATGCCACTCTTGAGTGCGAGGACCTCAGTGGCGCACAGTGCTGCTGTCATCGACTACAGCTCACTGTGGTGACTACAGTGTCCTCTAGGTAACACAGATGATAAGACTTGGGCTCTGAGTTGATGCTGTAATGGACTGATGCTTTCAGGGACCATGAAGTGGGGGTGGGTAATTTTGGGGGTTTTGTTGTTGTTGTTGTTGTTGGAGACAGGGTCTCACTATGTAACTGAGACTGACCTGAAACTCACTATGTAGCCCAGGCTGGTCTCGAACTCACAGTGATCCTCCTGCCTCAGCCTCCCGAGTGCTGGGATTACAGGCGTGCACCACCACATCCGGCAGGGGTGGGTAATTTTGAGTGGGAGGAAAAGGTGAACCCTTGGGGTCCAGAGACCTCACAGAGCCCCCTGCCTCAGCCTCCCGAGTGCTGGGATTACAGGCGTGCACCACCACATCCGGCAGGGGTGGGTAATTTTGAGTGGGAGGAAAAGGTGAACCCTTGGGGTCCAGAGGACACAACACAGTAGAAAAATAATGCCCCCCCCCGCCAGGGACTGTGAATATGTAGCCTTATCCCACAAAAGGAACCCCGTAGACATAAGGGAGTTTAGGGTTCTTGGGCAGGGAGTCTACTCTAAGGTGGGCCCAGTGTCATCACAAGGTCCAGACAAGACAGGGAGGGTGTGACAGGCAGCCAGGACATGTGAGGATGGAAGCAGAAGCTGGAGTCACATGAGCCAAGGAACACAGGTGCCTCTAGAAGCTAGAAAAGGGAGGCAATGAATATGACCCAGAGCCTCCAAAGGAACACAGCCCCTATGACCCCTTTTGGGATTCCTGACTGCCAGAACTGAAAGACAATGAGTTGTCTTAAGCAGCCATAGGAAACACACTGAGAGCCTGCATGGCCCCGTGAGGGAGGCCCAGGGAACACAGCTAGGGAGCCCTGGAGGCAAAATCTGAAGCCCCTGTGTCCATGCCAACCCCCCAACACACACCAAAGGGACAACGGTAACACTATCTCATTTTGCTGAAAAGAAAAATGAGAAAAATGCTGAAAGAAAAATGCCTGGTCCTTGAGATCCTGAGCAGTTCTCTGCATCTGTGTGGCCTTGCCTGGCCTGCACCTCCAGGACTTGTCACTTGGAGCCATGTGCAGGTTCAATACCCAAGTCCTGGGTGGCCCTGAAGGGCAGCACCAGCCCGCGAGTCACAGCCCCCAGGCTAATGGGTCACCTCACAAACACACGTGCAGGCTGAGGGCTCTACTTCCAGCCCTTCCTAAATTCAGCTGGGTGAGGAATGTTTGCAATAGCGGCCGTCAGGCAGAGGAAACACACATGGATTTATTAACAGGCTCCCTCCTACCAGGGATGCACTTTGCAACCTCTGTCTGGAGTGCTAAGTGAACAAGAGATGCTGCCTGAAAATCGAGCTCCTGGGGAGGAGAAATGAGAGGGTGCTGGAAACAGAAAAGGACAGCAAGCAAACCTGCACAGAAAGGGGCTAAATGACAATTACCCAAGTCTTTTTCCTCCCAAGCAAGCAGGTCAACCTGCATCTTTTGGATGCTGGTGGGTCTCAAGTGGCGGGGGTTAAAATTCAGTCATGAAATGAAGAAGGATCAAATTATGTGAAAGAAGACAAGATCCAGGAAGGAAAAAATGCCTATGTGCATCTGGGTGTTATGTGATGAGCAAACAACTTACTTTATAAAAACTGTGAAGGAGAGATCATCAGAAGTTTCCAGCCACTGAGGACAGGTACACAGTACTTACGTGAATTCCCTATTACTCCTACTTCACTGCCTGTACTAAGACTAATCAGGGCTTGTTTTTTAATGCCTCCACTCCCAGCACCACCTGCCCACTGCACACTGACTTCCTCTATCACACCAGCTCCTTGGTGGGATTCTCAGAACTCCAAGCACCGCTCAGAGGAAATGTCCAGTATCATGGTTTATACAACAGCTTCATGTACATTATTTTGGATTCTATTTCTCAACTACCTGAGAGAACTGCGGTGAAGACACCATCTCTGTGTGACTCAGCCAGGCTGTCAGCTGCAGATGCCTGTGTAGCAGGTGGCAGAACAGGGCCAGAGCCTAGAGATGTCTGCTTTCTACAGAAACTTCAGGAAAGAGAGTCCTGCTCCCTGCCCAACCTCCACAGCCACTGCATCCTCTCCCTCTAGTGAAAACAGTGTCCAGACCACAGGGAGAAGTGGCAATCCAGCCGCAGAGGTGAGGGCAACAGACAGCACAGCTGCTCCTGCAGGCTCAGTGGGGCAGTGGCTTACAGTTCCACACCCAAGGCAGGCCAACTTGGGAGGACGGGTTTCGGGCTGGCCAATTCCTGCCATCCCATGTGGCTGTGTGGCTGACTCTTTTGAGTGGAAAACACTTTCTACTAAGAATCTTTGGGACTGCCAAGGAAGGCAACAGCCACCACAAACAGACCACCCCCTCGGCCATGATGCACACAAGCTGGGCCAGCTCTTCTGTCCTCACCTCCAGCTTCCTTCGGGCCTCCTCCTGCTCCTGCCTTTCCTTGGCCATCCGCTGTGCTCTTTCCACTTCTGCCTTCCGTCTGTCCTCCTGCTCTTTCTCTTTAGCAAGGTTTTCAAAGTTCGCCCTGATGTTGCTGGTTTTACTGGTCGCTGTAGAAGAAGGAGAGTGGGCATCTGCCTCAACACCTTGGAACACCTCCCAGGACTGAAAGCCCACAGCAGGGTGACCCTCCCCAGCAACAGTCGGTCTCACCAAGAAGGTACAGTTCCCCCAGAGGGCTTAGCCCACCCTCCACACAGCAGAATTTGTGTCTGAACTTTGGTTTTTGGGTTTTTCTTTTTTGAGGTAGTGGGAATTGAACCCAGGGAGCTCTGAGCTATATCCTCAGCCATTTTTATTTACTTTTTCATTTTGAGACAGAGTCTCATTAAGGAGCCCAAGCTGGCCTCAAACATGCAATCCTCCTGCCTCAGCCTCCCCAACAGCCAAGATCACAAGTGTGCACCATCACAGCCCAGCTAGAGTTTTGTGGGTTGTTTTTTTTTTTTTTTTTTTTTGAGATAGGGTCATACTATGTAGTTGAGACTGACCTGGAATTCACTATGTAGCCCAGACTGGTCTCAAACTAACAGCGATCCTCCTGCCTCAGCCTCCCGAGTGCTGGGATTACAGTCGTGAGCCACCATGCCTGGCTCTAGAGTATTTTTAAACAAGGCATCTTTTTGGTACCAGGGATCGAACTTGGGTCCTTGTACTTGTGAGGCAGGCAGCAGAACCACTGAGCTAAATCCCTGGCCCAACAAAGCACCATCTTATTCTTTGCCACCACATACTCACACTTGTGATGAAAATCAAAGAAGGCAACCTCACTAAAATGAAAGTTTGTCCTTGTTAAAGCAGTACAGAAACTTGATTTTCAGCAAATTTTGACCCTCACACGTGCATTTTTTATATTCTGACAGAAATGGAAAAGGCATGAAGCACTACTGCTAAGTCTCAGGGAATAGCCTCTGTGCACTACCAGAGTGAAGGCTGAACTGTTTTCTCACGGAACATCATTTTCCCTAAAATAACAAGAGGCAGACAAGCTATGGTTATGCAGATTTGGGGATGTGGCAAACATTTCCTCTGAAGTGAGTGAATAAAATCGTTCTGTAAGAAAATTTATTGCAGTATTTGTTGCCAATAGGAAAATTAAAGCTTTTCAGCAAAATCAAGAGTTTTGGAAAATTTGTAGCTGCCATACTGGGCATGACAATTGTCACTTAAAGGCTTTGCCAATGAGATGAAGAACAAATGTGATTTTCTTTAATTTTGTAATGAAAGGAATAAACAGCCGGACAAGCATAACCCATAGGCCTACTATTTTCCAAACGGCTGAAGTGTGAATATCTTGCTGGGTAAGTGAGCTTCCCAAAGTGCAGGAGAACCACGCCTTCAAGTAAACATGGTGCACCATACTTGAGAGAGAATGACAAACCACCATGGTGACCCCACAGGCCACCAAGACCCCTCCCTTCCAACCTGCCAATCAGGCTGAGTCATTTGCCTCCATAAGCAACCTGACCTACTGCCACAGACAAAATGCAGAAGCAGATGTGAGACTCCAATTCCACCATCCTCTAGTAAGGGGATTTGCAAAAACATAAAACGATGCCATTCTTCTCTGTTTCCTTGTTCTGAAAATCACAGTGATTTTTTTCATAAAGAATGTTATTATGTAAACTTACAATGGTTTTATTTGTATGTGAATTTAAAACTTTCCTCCATTTTAATTTATAATACAGTAGATATCAACAAATATAACCAACAGCATCTAGGCTCTCTGCGGCCCTCAATGATTTTCAAAGTGGCCTGGGACCACAAAATCTGAGAACTGCTCCAGAGCACGTGCAGTGAACCTACGGTAACTCTCAGCTCCCCACTCTTCTTTTTTTCTTTTTTTCTGGCAGTACTAAGTCTTGAACCCAGGAGCTTCACTATATTCCCAGTCTTTTAGAGTTTTTTGAGATAGTTCTAAGTTGCCCAAACAAGGCTTGAACTTGTAGTTCTCCTGCCTTGAGCTTTCAGAGTGCTGGTGTTACAGGCACGCGCCTATACTGGCAGAAATTTCCTCTAAAGTGAGCCGGACAGGAGTGGGCTTCTGCTCCCCTCCCCCATTTTTTCTTTTGCAGTACTGGGGCTCAAACTCAGGACCTTGCACCTGCGAAACAGGCACTCTACCACTAAGCTAAATCCCCGGCCCTCCCGTGTCCCATTTTTATTAAGGGGCCCTCAGACACAGCATGTTGGGGCTCTAAAGTGGGGTCTGTTTGAGAGATACATTCAAAAGCAAAGAAAAGTTAACTATGTCCCCAAGGTCCTTGCATTGTAGGTGACAGGGATCTAGAAGGAACCACCAGGCCTCTCTGCCCACGGCTGTTTGCTGAACTTCCCTTTTCCCCCTGGGATTTCCCCAGGAAACTTTGGGGCATGGACTTTCCTCCGGGGAAGACTATACAGTGCTTTGGGGCTGTGGAGGACTCACCAGCTTCGACAGGGACAGTCTTCTGGTAGGCAGAGGATACCTGTGCCACATCTTCAAAGGTAGACGCATTCTACAGAGGCAGAAAAAGAAATCAGGAGCATGCTCCTCTGCTCCCTATGTGATGAGATATTAGAGCCTCCCAGATCCCTCAAAAGACCCAAGCAGCCTAAGGCTTTCCACTCCACCATTGTGTTCTGCAGATTCACTGAGGCACAGCAGTGTTTCCACACACACTTGTTGCTGACGATGAGTCAGTGTCACCATCTGTTCGGTGACAAGCCACCTGGTGCTGCTCCTCAAGCCTGTCCAATGCCCTCCCTAAAAGCCTCTGCTCTGTGGGACTAGGCCTCTCAGTGTTCCACGTGTCCCTGAAAGCACAATGCCACCACTCCATTTCAACTGGGCTCTCAGCTACGTCCCATGGAACCTGCTGTGATATCAGGCCTAAGCAGTGCTCCCAGGCACACACAGGTCAACAGGGTCCCTGGAAACTAATAACCTTCCTCAGTTCCATCTTGAGCTTCACCACTTCTGATGAAAGCACTCTGGCTCAGAACGCTCGCCGCATTCCCACATAGCACACTAGAATGGGGCCCAAAGGTGGGGTCCACCCAAGGTAGCCCAGCAGCTGCCTGAAATGAGCAAAGCCACACTTCACTCTAGCACATGTGGCTCCAGCTGCCCACAGGAGACCAGAATGGAGTTTGGCCCACACTAACCCTCCCCACCCTCCCCAGTACCCATCCTTCCACAGGGGAGCCCAAGAGCCTATGCCAAATGGACTCTCACCTTGACCAGAGCAGCCACTACCCATCAAGCCCTCCCACCCCCGTCCCCAAGACATCCAGCTGGAGAGCCCATGGCATCTAGGAGCCTTTGCCCTGGACACATCTCTAGAATCTATAGCTTCACCTGCTCAGATTTCTCGACTAAACCCTTTCCCTCTTCCCAAACACACTGCCCCTTGACAGTCTCCTACCTCTTCCAGAACAATCCCTACTGAGCTGTCCAGGGAACTCCTACCTGCCCTGTAGCCTGAGGGTAGGCACTGAGGCCAACACACTCAGATTCCTCCCTCTATCTTTGGAGGGTGGCTCTTGAGTCCTCTCATCCTGTTACCCCCACTGGAGGTCTCTGGCTCAATGCTCAGGCAGGAGCCATCTCTCCATCCACACCCACACCCCATCTACGTCACTTTCGCACCATCCCTACATAGCACACAGTGCCCAGCATTCCTCACAATACCCCACACCAAGACCTACCTTCACCCTGCATGCTGGAAAGGGTACCCAGCCTGTACCTACGAGGCAAGCATCCTGCCACAGAGCTCCATACCAGCCTATGACAGGCAGGCAGGCAGACCACAGCCTCTCCCACTTGCCATCTTTCTCCCAACATCGGACTGGCTCCACCCTCCTTCCCTGTCCAGCCTGGCTCCAGGATCCATAAGAGCAGCCACTCTTGCCACTGATCCACTCATGCCTATCACGGCTGATGTTGGTTGAACCTCCCTTCTGTCCCCAACAGGACAGGCTGGAACCTCCAAAAATGCAAAGTCACTGGCCTCACCCTGATAACCACTGCCACGGGGACAAATGCAGACTCAAGTTCTCAGGGACGGCCTCGTAGCACAGCCTGGGTCCTGGGCAATGTAATCAATGGGCTCCATGACTGGGCACAACAGTTCCAAGAGAGAATCATGATGTCCCACACACAGGTTTAGAAGAGGCAATGCCAATCTCACATGCTTACTTCAGGGTGTTTGCAAGTTCCACAGTCATTGTCATTACCCCTGACACCAACCACAGACGCAAGACAGAAACTTCCTCAACTCCCAACCGCAAAGCCACAACATCTGACTCACTCGCTCATTAGCTCCTTCCTTCCTCCTGTCTGAGGCCCTCGGCCACCGGACACTTTGTGGGTTCCCTGCTACCACCTTACCGAGCCTCCCTGCCCAGCATCCTCTGACCTGACCACTGCCATCAGACAGGTGCAGCCCTGAACTGGAGGAACTCCAGGGCTCACACAGACCACTGTATGTGCCCCACCCAAGTTCTCCAGCTCCAAAGCCACCCTTGCGGCCACCTGGGCTCCTCCCTCCTCTAGAGCCCTTGAAGACAAACCCCAGCCCCACCACTCAGCCAACCGCACACCTATGACATCAGACACTTGTCCTCTTGCAATCCCCAGCCTAAGCCATCACTTTGTTCTAGCTGCTTGGGCGGCCTCCTCGCAGCAGTCTCAGACCGGCTTCCATGGCTTCTCAAGGCAGACCCCACTCTTGTCCCCTGCCTGCTAAACCCATCCAGGGCCACAGAGTGTCCTTAACAAAATGAGGACCTTACATGGTTTGTAAGGCTCCCTTCTCCAGCATCTGCAGGGACCCCATCCCCACACCTGGATGCTCTGCCCTCTGTTCTGCAGTCTCTCAACACCGCTCTTTCTTGGCAAACTGCTACCCACCCTTCAGAAGTGGGTTCTTTCCCTTCCTCTGGACCCCTCAGCCTATGCCATCTTCCCTGCCGTGTGACCCCAGGGCACTCCCATCGGTCACATGGGGAAGTGCCTTAGGAGAGGTCATCTGTAAGGTCAGCCAGAACCTTCATGGGAGCAGAATTTTTTTTTTTTTTTTTTTTGTATCAGGGATTGAACTCGGGTCCTTGCACTTGCAAGGCAGGCCACCGAACCGCTGAGCTAAATCCCCAGCCCCATGGTAGCAGAATTCTAAGAGAACCCACATGCCACCTATCACCACAGTCAAGGGCAGGACAACCCCACTGATGGTCTCATATTAACTCAATTTCCAATCTGATTTACCCTTGATAATTAAAGTTCAAATAGCTGCATGACCCAGTGACAGCCCAGTCACTCACTCCTATGCCATGGCCAAACACTCAAGACTGTCTAATTCAGACCCTGACTGTGAAATGCGACAATGAGTTAGATGGCCCACCGCTACCAGAGTGGCACACACCAACCTCAAAGGGTGGACTTCCACAGCCATGAGCTGAGTGCCTGCCTGATGGTATCCACCAAACAGCAGCTGACACACAGAGGAAAGGCTGCAGAAATCTCTGAGCCTGCCTGGGGCTGGAGATCCTTACCTTATCCATCCGATCTTTCTGCACCCCGTACTTCCCACCAAATCCTTTGGAGTAGTCTGAAAGGTGACAAAACACAAGACTTACTCTGAGGCAGAGGACAGGCCCAGGTTGAGATAAGTGCAGGTGCATGCAGACAGGTCTGAAACAACCCGAGGAAATGCACCCCAGCAGAAAGAACCAAGAACTGCTGCAGGATGGGCTTTCCTGGGCAGGCGAGTTGTGTTTGACCCCAGTGTCCAGTGCACAGGAAGGGGGACAGGACAGAGGCGTGGCATGCTTCTGGCATTCTCCCAAGGGAAGGGGAGGGGACGGGCAGCAGGCTAGCAGTAAATAAGCCAAGGAGGAGGGCACAGGACAGGCCTTTGCAATGCGCCACTTCACTAGCACAGTCTTCCACACCAGCCACGGGGCTTATTCTCATCTGTTTCCTGTGCGCCCGTGTTACCCAGCACTAAATAGAGGCTCAGTCGCAGTTTGTTCTCTTGCTTTTTAAAAGAAAGAAAATATTCCATGTGGATATTCTACCAGCCAAATATGTCTGTTGCAGCAACACCCATCCACATGAAAGTCACACTGTCATGCAGTCTGAACACCACAGAGAACCAATAGCCATCTCCATGCAGTTTTGGGGGCCAGGCCCAAGTGCGTTGACCTGCCCAGGCCCAAGCACTGCAGTTCCTAACACTGGGCTGAAAGCCTACACTCTGCCCTGCACTGTTGGAAATCACCATTCAATCGTGTGTCCAGCTTCTAATAACCAAGTCCTCTGATGGAGAACTTTGATGGAGACCAAGTGACTGCTCTAAGGAAAATGCGTTAGCTATTTGGAATTCTAGTGTGTGGCCCTAGAAAGATCCCTTTTCAACTGTGTGTACACACTGTGTGGCTGTGTGTGGAGATCTTACACATGGATGGTGTCATTTAAAAAAAAAAATGCAGAACAAACAAAACCACCCACCCTTGTCCAAAAAGCACCACCACGATGAACACAGAAACCACACAGAACGTGCCTGTCTCAAGCCCTTGCTGCTACCAAGCCTCTGGCTTAAGGTTCAGGGGCTGCTGGAATGAAACCCCTCTCTCCTAACCTCAGAGGCAACAAGGCCTGGTACAATGACCCAGAGAAGTCATGGTCAAAAGCAAGCAAACACGTGCAGAATGCTGCTGGAAGATCAGAGGACCATTTTGGAAACTGGATATGCTATAAGGATAGAATTCATAACCTGTGAACAAACTCATTTCTAACCTCAACTGTCCTCTACAACGTCAGAGGTTAAAAGGCGGGGGATCAGAGCTTAGTTTCAATGGTTGAGGATGCCCAATGGCCTGACAGCTGGTGATTTGGAGAGCCTGTTACAGCACCAAGGTTAACTCCAAAGCCTGTGCTAGAAGTGGCTGCACTGCAAGGGAGGGTGGGAGAGGCGGGGGGCAACTGTGCCTTGCTGGGACTCGTGCTTGGCCAGTCTCTCCTTGTAATCAAACCCCACAGCGGAGGAGTCCTGCCTCTCCGACTGAACACCAAATTTGCCTCCGAAACCAGTCTTATAATCTGGAAATCCACATGTGACAATGGAGGAAAACAACCAAGAGAGGAAACAGGTTGCATTAGAATCACATGAGCATGTGCAATATCCAATACATTGTTTGGGGAAAGCAAGAGCTCTGGTAAGCTTAGAGGGGCGTGAGGATCTCAAGTTGGCTCAAATGGTTAAGGAACAGCTTCAAAAGGGAACACCTCGGCCAAGACCTGGAAGCAACTAGAACTGTATTATCAGTAGTGCAGTAAAGCTACTCCATGCTTGGAAGTTTGTCTCTAGGGTCCTACTTATGCCACTGAGAGACATCAAATACAAAGGACACCTTGCCCCACCCCTGCTGGGCACAGGATGGGTGCCTGAACCCTAGCTTAGGTGGGGCAGACAGAAGGCCTCTGCTCCCCTTGAGCTGGCTTGCCCAGGGTCAAGGTTCTCATTCTGACCATAAAATACTTCTGGTTAGAAAGGAAGCATCTGCCGGCACAAACCATAGTTCACTTTATAATCAAGAACGGGGACTAAATGTACTGTGCTTCCATGCAGTACCCCAAGGGCAGAAGGCAAATGCGCCAGCAGTGCTGCTGACACAGTCCTGTGCTGTGGAGATGTGGCCCCCGTGTGAGGGAGGGCTCCACACTACGCTAGCTCAAGGGCTTCTGAGACTCCAGGACAGCATCACACGTGAAGACACAACACTTCAACAGGGATACAGCAAGTACGAAACACAGTGACTGGTCTAGGAATGGACACAAACTCTCTAAACGGCCTTGATGATGGGCAAAGAGAATGTACCTTTTTGGGATTCATGCAGCTGTAATTTCTCTTGGTGATCCCAGCCAAGGGCACATTTGTCTTGTCTGTCTGTTTGCACACCAAATTTTCCTCCAAACCCTTTCACATAGTCTACATGCACAATAAAAAGCCATAATCTAGTGTTAACAGGCAGCCTGGGTCACATGTACAAAACAGGTTTCCAATAATACAATGTAAGACACACAATTTACTAAATCCACCCTTTCTTTTGCAAAGCTTTGGTAAAACACCCATTAAGAGGCCCTCGTAGAGAGGCCAGAAAATCGCCTCGTCTGTAATCTCAGCTTTATAGGCAGATAAACACAGACAGGCCCACCCAACGCACATGGCTCACACCAGCACTTGCAGGCAGCACAGTCTCACAACTTATAGACAGACATGTGGAACAATGACATTATTATGAGCAAAACTGCTAGAGTTTAAAACCAAAAAAAGTGTAAACTTCTGGTCTCTTACTTAACAGCTGTGTTTCTGGATTCACTATTTTCTGTTTTGGTTTATGTTTTTTGAGACAGGGTTTCACTTTGTTGCCCAGACTTGTCTTGAACTCCTGAGCTCAAGAGAGCTTCCTGCCTCAGCCTTCTGAGTAGCTGAGTCTATAGTTATGAGCCATGGCATCTGGTGAATGGATTTTTTCAAAACTGAATATTTAATAAAAAGAATCATCCACTTTAAAAGTGGTCTGAAACATTTAGTTTTCCCCCTTCTGTCCTGGCTAATGCCTGTCACATTATTCTCCTGGCTAAAGAATAAGAGAAAACTGAAGACACCTTTCTGGGACTCATGTTTCTCTGTTTTGCCTTGATACTCAAAGCCGACAGCGCTCTTATCCACTTTGTCCTTGTCAATACCGTATTTGCCACCAAAGCCTTTGGAGTAATCTAAAAACAAGAAAAGACTATTTAAAAACCAGCAGATTCAATCAGTATCCCATGAGTCTTAGTAGTCATTAACAAAGTAGTCATTTTACTCAATTTCCCATCTCCCCCCTTAGGTTTCTGAGACAAGGTGTTGTCCACTTTATAATCAAGTAGTCCAGGCTGCCTCAAGCTTTGATCCTCCTACCTCACCCTCCCAAGAGCTGGGATTACAGGTTTATATACCTACACCCCGATTATCACTCAATGGAAAGTGAGGGCAGGGGAGGGCAGGAGAAGAGGTGAACTCACTCCTTTTAGGCTCGCTGAAAGATCGCTGAGTAATATGAACAGTATCTGTGTGTCATAATATAAACATAAAGACGGTAAAGACCGCAAGTGTTTCGGTTTAGACCTGGAATGCTCCCCACAGGTGCTATGCTTAATTAAGTCTTGGTCCCCAACTGCTGGGGCTATGGGTAGTGGTGGAAACTGGGAGATGTGGCCTGGCTGGAAGAGGTGAGTCACTTTGGAAGGATATAGTACTTTATTCCCACCCCTCCTGCCAGCCCTCCACGAGGGGTGCAGCTTTGCTCTGCACATGCCTTACTGTGGCCCAGAAACAACAGAACCAAGGGACCATGGACTGAGACAGGTTAATAACTACAATGTTATCCCTCATTCCAAAGGACAGCAGGAAGTAACCACTAGGCTTGAGGCCAGGGTGCCCAATGGAAGCAAGCATCAAATTCTCTGAAGCAAGCAGAGATGTGCCAAGGGAGACTTCCTAAGAAAAAAAACACACAAGGCACATCTTCCAGAAACACCAATTCTACTCAAAGCCCAGTCATTTAAAAGTCATTTCACTTCTACAGCATGACTCCCATGGACGTGGTTATGGCATAAAGCATGGAGCTCAAAAGCTACAAGGAAAGGCCCAGGGCATCAGAGGCCCTTGACGCTCCCTGCTGCTCAGAGCCAGGGATGCACAGGACTGAAAGTCAGACCAGATCCAGGGAGCGCTGAACACACACTGGTCTGGGCACAAGGCAAATCACATACTGAGTTTCTCCACAGGCCCACAGGAAAAAACAGCAAGGTAGCAAAGCCTGAACTCAGGGGCACTGCTTGCTTTGTTTTCAAAAGAAATCAGTGCTCACTGTTCAAATATTGGCAGTCATTTTAAAAAACTGGAAAGTTCAGGCCAGACAAAACAAATAGTGCCGGAGAATGGAGAAGCCATGACCTGACAGCTGGCAAGCTCTATAACAGAAAGGGTTTTTGAGTAGGGTCTACAGGGTATGAAAGAGCAAAGGGAAAAGGCAGTGTACCCCAAAAGGTCAATCTGGAAGTATTTATCAAAGTTTTAGGGGTTTTCAGAGAGCTGACCATCAAAACCAGAGCCCTGCACATGCTAACCACATGTTCTACCACTGACCCATATATCCAGCTCCCATCAAAACTTTAACAGCCTTTGCCCTCCTCATTTCCATTTTTAGAAATGGATCCTTTTGAATAATCACTCTTGTGTAAGACACAGTAAGTAAAGTATAAAACTGTTCACAGCAGTCAATTTTTAACATCAAAAAATTGCAAATAACCTAAATTTCACATTAAATGAAGAATAGTTAAGCAGTCTGTGTAAACCTCATGGGACACGGGACTTGAGCAGCCACTAAAACCATGAAGAGTCCATATCTATTCACACAAAAAGAAGATCAAAACACTTTCAATTAAAACAAAGCATATAAAAGACAACCCAATTTATACAGGGAAGAATCCCCTCCAGCATTCCTTTACTTGTAAATGCATGAGAAAGACAGGAGAGAAGCCCCTCACCTTTCTGTGACTCGTGCTTCTCTGTCTTCCCCTGGTAGTCGAAGCCCACAGCACTCTTGTCTACCCGGTCGGCTTGCACACCGTACTTGCCACCAAAGCCACTGGAGTAGTCTAAGAAGACAGGAGAATAGTCAGCATGAACATGATGACAAGCTCAAGTGCCACTCTTGCTAAGCTAAGCAAAACAAAAGTGTTCAAGGGATATAGCAATGAAGAAACGGAGCACACATCTCAAAACAGACAAGCTACCCACTGCCCCTCACAGATGACACTGGGCACATTTACAACCCCTGCACAGCAGAGCCTGCATCCATTTCCACTGCTGCAGGGCAATTCGTTCCCACTGGCAGAAATAATGTGACACGCCCACTTTAAAAACTGGTCAAGAGCCAGGCATGGTGGCACACGCCTGTAATCCCAGCACTCAGGAGTCTGAAGCAGGAGGATCTCTGTGTGTTTGAGTCCAGCCTGGGCTACATAGTGAGTTCCAGGTCAGTCTCGACTACATAGTGAGACCCTGCCTCAGAAAAGTAAATTAATTAATTAATTAATTAAAATAAAATAAAAACTGGTCAAGGTCAAGGCATAAAGAAAGCTATGCAGCTGAAAACCTTACAGACCCCACTGTTCTGTATGCCCATGCCTCAGTTAACTACATCCATGCTGCCCAGGAGCAAGCCCAATCCTGAATTATGCGATAACACACAAAAGCCAGAATTAAATACGCCTGCAGACCTTGTTTAGACACATGGAGCATTCTAACAAGATAATACACCTTTGTCTTTAAAACATGGCTTGAGACTGGTGATATCATAAAGATTAATCACTACCATACTTATCTCTACACATGTATAATGAAAACGAGAACTTAGTAACTCTGCTTTCTATTTTCAGGAGGGAATGTTAGGGGTTTTTTGTTGTTGTTGTTTTTAACCAACGAAGCCGGAAAAGAGCATCACTCGATCGCTTCTCAGCCTTTTGGCTAAGATCAAGTGTATCAGCATCACTCAAAAGAGGGGCAGCTTTTGTGGCAAGCTGGGTGGAACCATGACACCAGATGCGAGAGCTTTGTGTATGCTGCCTAACAGTACATCCAGGTGACTCAGGAACTCAGAGCAGAACTCTCCCTAGGTGCCAGCCCTCCCCAACCTGGAGCAGGCTTCAGGCAACCAGGCCTCAGGCCTCTCCCCTCAAACCCAGACTGCCTACAGGGCTGCTTCCCGTCCCGTCCAAATGTTCCACAGCTCACCTTTCTGGGAGGCGTGCTTCTCTGTCTTCCCCTGGTACTCAAAACCTACCGCAGACTGAAAGTACAGAAAAGGCAAAACGCACTTTTAAATGCCTCTAAAACTGTCACTCTGAGTTTACAATATATATAAAACTTCAAAAACCACAAACCATGTTATTTTTTTGACTGGTTTCCTAAGTCAAATCCAGGTTAAATTAATGCCAAAACCTCTGGTATCCTGAGTTTACATGCTACTGCTATATGTTCCACAGCCAGGAATGGTGGTGCATACCCATAATGAAGAGGGGACAGGATGGCTAGTTTGAAGCCACCTGAGCAATTTAACACAACCTTGTCTCAAAATAAAAAGGGCTGGGAGTGCAGCTCAGTGGTAGAGTGCTTGCCTAGCAGGTACAAAGCTCTGGGTTCAACCCCCAGTTCTGCAAAAAAAAAAAAAAAAAAAAAAAAAAAATTCCCAAAACAAATTCCAACCTCTTCTAAGTGGGTGAAATCCTGAATTGTGTATGTAGAAGAACTTGTGATAGTTTTAATAAGAGAAATAACTATAACTTTTGTGTTTTACACTTTTGAATATTGTGCCCAGTTTAAAAAAAAAATAATGCTGGGCGAGGTATTTAGCTCAGTAGTTCTGCCACCTGCCTTGCAAGCGCAGGGACCCAAGTTCAATCCCTGATTCCAAAGGTAGTAATGATGATGATGATGATGATGATGAGCCAGGGCAATGTGACCTCTTCCCCAGCATGCTGCTGCAGATCATGCTCAGCTGATGTATTTTAGCTGCATAATTCCAATCTAGAACAATTTCTTATGCCACACAGAAACTCATTCTTCACATAAGCTCTCCTAAGAACAAAATGAATACTACTAACAATAGCAGCAGAAGCCAGGCACAATGGTGAGCATGTGGACACACAGTATCTGCTCTGCTTCCCACACAGCCCCAAGAGCTAGGGATCAGCGTGAACCCCATTTTACTGACATGGAAATTCCGTGACAGCTAGCATGTCAAAAAGTTAGAACACAGACAGAGGTCTGCCCAAACCCAGGCTCTTGCCTGCCATGGTATAAAACGAAGGCATCAATGGCCCCGAACCAAACGAAATCAGAATGGGCCAGGCCTGAACCTGTCAGAACACCTGGACACAGACTACAGTACTGGAAACGAGGTCCATGCCACAGAAAGAACTCTGAGCAGCACGTGCCACAGTGACATATATGAAAGGAAAGGGGTAGGAAAGGTCCCTACTGATATATTGTTAGGCAATCAATCTAAGGGGGTCCTGTGCTGAGGACACTTAGAGAAGGACTCCAGTCCCCCAATGAGTGGACAGCCACGCAGGAACTTCAATGGCCAATGTGTCAAAGGCTTTTCTTCACGTTTCTGCCCCGCTTCCCCACCCAGCTGGCCCATCCTCTTAGAGCATCCCAGGGACAGAGGCCAGCCAACTCTTACCCAAACAGCCCTCCCTACACACTGCTGCGAGTGGCCCAAAGAACACACACAGCAGCAGGTCAGTGTGGGAGGCAGTGTGATCAGCAGAGAGCAGGGCCACTCCCCGTGCCCATCACTCACCTGGTCAACTCTGTCCATCTGCACACCAAACTTGCCTCCAAAACCCCGGACCGAGTCAACCTGAGAGCAGTGCTTAGAAAGCTTCGACTGATACTCGTGACCAACAGCTGACTGGAATAGAGTCCAAAAGTAAAGTATCAGACACCAAGCCTAAGCAACATTAACAACCGAGGTGCAGGTCCGAGGGGTGTAACCCTTGGCCATGGCAGTGGACCTCTCCTCCATGCACCAAACGCCAGCACAGACACAGGGCTGACTCTTGGGAGGATCCACAGCCCAAGCAGTTAAGTTCCTGGTGCAGGGCTCCTCCACTGCAGCTCCAGGGCTTCCAGACCACAACCCCTGACTCAGAGAGGAGCTTTGGATACGAAAAGGTGTGGAAAACATCAGAGGTGGTAGCTGACAACACAACTCATGAGACCCATTTACATGGAGACCACTGGCATTATATTTACTCTATTAAAAGAATAAGGCTTTTTTATGCTATATGAACAGCAAACAGGACAAATAATATTTATTTTGCCAAAACACTAAAGCACAGAAACATGTATTTTAGTAATAACAGACTCAGAATCAACATCTGAGTACGCGTGTCATGTAGATACAGTACCAGCTGCTGTCACCCAAACTGGCTCACTCCAGGGTCACCGACATGGTCAGCCCCGTCAAGAGAATACAGGTTCAGGAATCTTCTGCATGGCACATATGCACCAGATGACAAAGTGAGGAAGCACAGCCTGGGGGTTCAGCCTGCTTCCCACCTTGGGGTCTGCAAACCATGGCCTGAGGGGTAGCCCTCTCCAGCAATGACGGTCTTGGGAATGCAGCTGTGTCTCTTCGCCAGCACAGTGTCTCTAGCTGTATCTGACTCTTCCACCCACCACAGGAGTCTCAACCCTGTGACCAGAATGCTGCCCCAGCCCCGATGGCTCCCCACACCGAGCACAGTGAGGCCCACAGTGGATAGTGCCCTGGTGACCCCTGCATGGGTGGTGAGGACAGGTAATCCAGTTGGAGGCATAGGGAGGGCACACACACATCCAAACACTTATGCCCTCTCCCCACTGGCACACGCCCTCACCTCAGCTGCCCGACAGTGAGGCTCAAGATCTCCCTGGGTTGGTCAGTTATTTGACAGATGCTGGGTTTATCCTCTAAGTCAGGCTGTGTTCAACACATCAGTGACACTCAGCACAAACCTCAGTGTCCACGCGTCCTAATGATGAAAGCCTTTGGAGCTGTAACTGTCACAACTCAAACTGAAATGATGGCCAAGCCAAGAGCTCTGGACCCCAAACATGGCAAATGGCCTCTAGGATCTCAACCAAAAAATGTCAACCAGAGAGAGGCAAGAGGCAGCTGTGGCAAAGGGATTCCTCAGCATGACTTTTTATTAGAAAGTTACAAGAAAATGATTCTAAAAATATGGCTATATTTTTGGCAACAGTTACATCTTTCTGACCCAAACAGATATGCTCCCCAAAGTGTCTTTGCTCTTCTACTAGAAGAATCAAACTTGTTATTAGTAGTCCAGGGGAGTCCCATCCTAAAGACTTGGGTACAGGAAGCCCATGGGATGGACCACAGCCATCTCAACTCCAGAAGGGGGCAACATGGTCAGACAATGGCACAACCAGAACTTCTAAGCTCCTGTCCTTGCCCAAAACATGATTCTGGCAGTGTCTGTCACATATTCCTCAATTCTTTGCCCAAGGATCTCACTATGTTTTTCAGTTGCTGGAGAGGACAAGTTATGAAGAGCTTGAGCACTTATCCCCACGTTTATAATCAATTCTGAAAATAGGCCAGTCTCAAGGTGCTCAGGTGAGCTAGAAGCTGACTGTTCCCAGACACACAGGCCTGGGACACAGGCCAGCAGGACTAAGTAGCAAGAGCAGCAGCACCCCTCACTGGGTCCATTGCTGCTGGCATCTTTACCAGCACAACTCAGAAGTGAGCGAGTGATTCTGAGCCAGCAGGACCCCATGTGTGGCTCTGCACACCTCACCACACATCCCTGAGCATCCTGCAGGACACCAGGCCAGGCACAGGTAAAAGTGATGAGTGCTGGCCCTAGGAAGCCCAGGCCAAAAGAGTCTCACTGCAAAGCACAGGACAATGCAGCAACAACAGCAGTCAGGGATGAGGAAGAAGTGGGTTCCCAGGGAGGGCAGGTGGGCAGAAGGAAGAGATGGGCTCTTTGGGGAAGCTTTTGGGCTACAAAAGCTTATCCTCTAAGTCAGGCTGTGTTCAACAGCCACAGGCTTAAGCTGAGCGAGACTCAGACCAACGAGAGGCACAGCCCAAGCAGCAGCAGAGAAGCCAGGAACCAGCACATTTTGGATCAAACTCTTCCTAAATAAATTGTCATCATTTTCCCTAATGTGTAATTTCCCAACCCCAATTTCCATAATCACCCTCTCTCTGCAGTAACTACCCATGATCCTAGCGAGACAAGCTCAGTTCCGGATGGGAAAGGCTCCCACCTACTCGATGCAGGGTTCTGTCTGCTTTGCTCTGCTGCTCTGAAAGACTACCAGGCTGTATTCAGGGCCCCAAGATGATTCTTTTCCACACATTTCCCATTTCGGCATCAGGGTATCTCTCTGGGAGTGACACAGCAAACGTCCATGTCTCTTTCCTGCAGATGGTACCTAGTCAGCCTCCAGCTCCAGGCTATTTCTGGATGTGCTTGGGGTGCTCCCAGCCCCACCTCCACACCCTCCATACTCCAGTCTGCTGCTGGAGTGATGTGTGGCTCACCCTGACAGCTTTGTCATTCCAGGCCCAGCTCAGATATTTAACTTGATCCATGCAAGCTGAGGAGAGGTGTGGAATTACCCACCAGAATCCAACCCTGGCTGATCCTTTCACCTCTGCCCACAGTAGAGGCAACACCTTTACAGTCGGAACAATACCATGTTGCTCAGACCTGGAAATTCACTGCTGCAAGGGTGTCTGCAGAAGTAAGACCTGCTTTACTGCAGACATCCAAACATGCTGCTCTCTGCACTGCCTCCTCTCCAGGGATTAACCAGCCAGCCCTCTGGAGCCAACACTCGCCTGCTCTTAGGCAGAACAACCTGCAGTGCTGTAAAGGTGCCTGCACTCATCAGCAGCTTCCATTAGCTTCTGCTCAAGCAGCCTGGTCCCATCACTGACTGCTCATGGGGGCCACCTAGTCAGTACCAATGTTACGAACTGAGGTCAGTAAAGGCACATGGACATCAGCTACGCACTGACTGAATTTCCATGAATGATGTTACAAGGGGACCCAGATATGGTTTTGTTCTGTGTACACAAGCTGGAACCACAGGCAGTGGTAACTAGGACATCTGCAGTCTGGATGCTTCTGGACTCTGTCCCATTCACAAAGCTGAATACAGGAGCTCTTCTTCCCTCAGGGACTCCCTACACAGCAGCAACTCACCAGCACCTCACAGAATTTCAAAAAGACATCCAGAAAAGCAGGAGAGCTTTGTGAGGGGCTTTGTGAGCTCACAAAGTAGGTTCAATCGACACTCTGAGCAGATCTCACCCCCAACAAACCAACCTGACACTTTCAATCTAAGGAAACGTGAGCCTAGCCCAGGCAGCAGTCGCCCACTTACTTTATCCATCCTGTCTTGTTCCACGCCGAATTTCCCTCCATAGCCATGGGAGGCTTTTGGTCCTGTTTCAAGTTCCTTCTCCTTGAGAGTCTGATGTTCTTGAAAGACGTTCTCTCTTAGCTTGTGTATGCTTGAGTGAGACAGAGATGGGGGTGGGATCAGCAAAGTGGAGGTACATACTGGCTTTGTAATGGAATAAAGACAGGCAACATCACCTTTGCAAACTCGAAAACTTTCCTACCAACTGCCTACCTTCTATATATGTTCCTGTCTATCCTGCCAACTGGGGCATCCACCTCAGTGATTCTCAGTCAGGCAGAAATTCTGATCAGCATACGTACCATGGGATGACCCAACTGCCCCCAAAGGCACCCTACTAAAACTTGAACTTCACTTCATTTGGAGAAAAGCTGTCCATTTTAGTAGACAAATGGGTTAGGAGAACAAGCTCTGCAAATGCTATCAAGAGGCAAATGGAGGAATAAAGTCAAAGGTCCTATGCTCCAGACCCCCATGACCACCAAAGATTCCAAACAATGAAAATTTGTCTTTACCTGAAGTACTCAAGTATTTCACACCTTCAAGATAAGATGGACATTCAGAATTTACCATGTAAAAGCCATTTTTCATTTTACAGAGAATAGGAAGCAGATTCCAAGATTTAGTTAAAATCTGGCAGGCCAGGAAGCAGCTGTCACGATAGACCCCAGAATGGACACGGAGCCCTTCTGCCCAGCAGACACAAGGCCCACACCTTCAATATAAGGACAAAAATCCTAGGAGTGTGGATAAAATACACACCAAGCCTGGAAAATACCTGACCCTTTTATAAGCAAGGGAAGAAGACCCAGCTCCTAAACTCTGGGAAGGGCCACAGGATGCCGAGAAATATCCCACCCCCACACTTTTCCTCCTGGAATCCTAGTATTCACCCAGAGACTGCTGTCCAGGTCCTGTGCATTTTCCATCCACACCCTCTCCCTGACAGGTTCTGGGGCCAAAAGGAACAGAAGACTGGAGAGAGGTCTGGGTGACCTAACCAACTTGGGGGTCTGCCTAACTCCATGGCAAACAGCCCAAGGCTGTGCCAGATGCTCCTACCAGCACCCATTTCATCCCTTCTCCTAGCTGACTGGAAGCCCTCTGCCTTCTCAGGTCACTTCCGTGGGAGGCATGAGCTGAGCAAGCCAGGGAAGGACAACCAAGATCTGTCAAGTAAAGGTACAAGATCCCAATGATGAATGTAACTGTACTGTATACTTAAAAAGTACCAATAAACTCAAAAAGATTAAAAACAAACAAAAAAAAAAGCCAGGGAAGGACTAACACTCAAGTCTAAATAGTTCCTGTGCAGGAGGACCACCAGCCTGGACAACACAGTGAGACTCCATTTCATAAAAAAATCATGTAAAAGGACTAGGGATTTAGCTCAGTGGTTCCACTGCCTGCCTTGCAAACATAAGGTCCCAAGTTCAATCCCCAGTAACAAAACAACAACAAAACTAATCATATAAAAAAATTACAAGTGATACTCTAAAACATCACCATGAAAACTCTTGTGTTGTTCTGGGCAATTCACTAAACATTCCTCTGCCAGACACTGAGCAAGACAGGGCCTTTCCAGTGTACAAAGCAGATCACCAGGTCAGCATTGCTGCCTTTACAACACAGGACAAGGAGAACCAACCCTGACTAGTATGGCCTAAAACAAACCTCTCAGTGTGTTTTTGAAGGTCCTTTTATCAACACTTCCTGATGAGAAAACAAGCTGCACAGAGCTGGCATTTTAGATAGTGCCAGGTCAAAAAAACGACACAGCTCATTGTCTCCAGGAGGTCTAGGCTCTTCACAAAGCCTGGAATTCAGCTCACACTCCCCAGCTATTACATTCTGCAACACACAATAATTTTCAGACAATTATAAAAGGAAGAGGGTGTTTAAGGAGAAAGAACCTAAGCAACTTCAGCCCCAGATGAAAATCACAATATGCACAATTATAAAATGAGGAAATTGTTTGCAATAGAGATTTTAAATTGCTGGGCAACTACACATATAAGTACATAAACATAAAAACATGCATTAAACATAGGCATCATGTCTTTCATTCATTCATCTACTGTATGAACGTCAGATCAACACAATAAGCAAGAGGAACTCTGATGCCTGACTGCACCCTCTAGATAGATGTCCCCTGTTGTGACCTGTTCCCACCCTAGTGAGTGTGCAGAGGCAGGGCCCCATTCACCATGGCCCCACAGAGGCTCTTACTTGATGTGTTCCTGGTGCCCAGACCCTTGCACGGTTTTGGCGCCCCATCTCTGTTCCTTTTCACTTACATCATTCTGAAAAGAAAAATAACTAGTAAACCCCACACCCTGGAACATGAACACAGGCAAACACAGAGCCTAAATGAATACAACACAGGAAAATCACTTTCAAACAAAAAGAACAGGCAGGGTGGTGACTCTTACCACAAAATCAGGGTCAGTCTCCCAGTCATCGGCTCCCCCATCATCCTGGGTGATGGACACAGCATGGCCTGCTGATGCTTTCCACATCTGTAAGAGCAACACTGAGGTTACAGAGACTGAGGACAGCTGCCCTCAGGGCCCAAACTACAAAGATGCCAATGCAATATACAATAACAAAATGCCCTTCAACATCACTAAACTTTTTTTTTGAGACAAGGTCTATGCAGTTCAGGCTGGCCTTGAACTCACTATATAGCCCAGGCTGGCCTCAACTCATGATCCTCCTGCCTCAGCCTCCCAAGTACTGGGATGATAGGTATGCGCCACCACGCCCAAGCCATAGTCACTAAACTTGAATGAGTTGCAGGGATAAAAGCAATTTAGTATTAAGAGCCCATCTTATTATTATAAGTGTTTTTTTAAAAAGAGCACTCATTCTGATTTCAAGTACTTCCTGGAAATATAACAATTATCATCTAACAATTTAATAAATGTTTCAAGTAATTTAGTAGAGGGCTGCCTTGCCATGTATTTGGGGAAATGCACAGCATATAAAATGCCAAATCCTATGTTAGGAGGCTTAAAAAGCAGTCACCTTTACCCACAGCACTTTAAGACTCTCACATTTGATGTGTTTTTAGAGAACACTAACACATCTGCAGACACCAGTAAGATCATTCTGTCTGTAACTTCAAAGATAAAATCTCACCTTAAAAGTGTATTTTTTGTATGTAAAAAACGGATGAATTTTCCACAAAGAATGAAAACAGTAATTCCACTGAGGCTATGAAGTAACTGAAAGATTATTTTAATTCAACCAACCAAAGCCACACCCAGCTCTGACCTGAGACTCCTGACCCTCCCCCTCTGGGCTCCACACAGGAGCTCTTTCGGCTTGTGTTCCCCTGGACAAAAGCCCTCCACAGCTTGAGAAGGGCACCTTCTAGAGCCAGCCTGCCAACTCTCCTAGGTCTAAAGGCCACATCTGAGGTGGCAGTGAGAGACTAATCGCAATGCACTGCTCTCATCCCCTCAGCAAAAAACCACCTGCCACCAGGTGGGGTAGGACCTACTTTGCCCCTCAAATGAAAGCCACCTCGAACCTCACCTAAAGGCCCCAAACATGGCAAGAATTTCCCAGATGTGATTTGCCTTTGACAGATTTAAAAGTGCAGATGAACAAGCCTTAGCACCGAGAGGCACGACCACATAGTCTGGTCCTGATCATCCACTCACAAATGAAAAGTTACACTGGGCATCTAGCCTCTTGCCTGCCCTGGACAACACACTGTCCTAAATGAGCAACTGCCTATGATTCCAGAGGCTAGTTTCAGTCACTGAAGAAAAGGTCACAAGAAAGGACAAGCACCCCTGTGGGGCTAGCAAAACTGATGCTCACCCCCAAGTCAAGGATAAAGGCAGCTGCCTGCTTCTTTTTCAGATTCATCAGGGAAAGGGACAGTGTGCATTAACTGATCTTTCTGAAAACCAGCTTCACGAGGCAGGAGGGGAGTCCTTCCACCCACTTTATAACAGGCCTGGTGGCTCCTGCCATGTGCAGCAGAACATGAGGAGTGGTAGATGGTTTGTCTGAGAAATGCCTCCTACTCCCAGTTCCAGAGCTTTCTGAAACTCCTTCTAAGATGGGGCAACACTAAAAACTTGACTTCAGTTTTTAATTTAACTTTTTTTTTCAATGTCAGGGCTAATCCCAGGGCCTTGTCCATACTAGGGAAGCACTCAATCACTGAGTTACATGCCCAGCCTCTAACTTTAGTTTTTAAACAGTGAAATTTCTTTCAGAAAACTCTCCCCACTTCCCATCCCTTTTCGGTAAAGAGGTTTTACCCTTACCATTCAAGGAAAGAACATTAAAATGCTCACAATATAGAAACCTTTCCTCTCAAGGGATGAAAGGCTGCTCACAGAACTCCACTTAAAACACAATAATCCAATGAGGAATGTCTAGGCATTCAGGAGTGATTCTGTCTATAAACAGATTAAGGGTGAAAAAAGATGTCCACAGCCAGGCTCTCTGGGCAAATCTATCTGTGGAGGGCTTTACAGAGCACCTCGGAAATCCTCTCCAGCATAAAAAAGTTTTGTAAAGAATTCTGAAAGGAAGATGAGAAGATTTTCATTTTATTAATCAAAGTTCAACACAGAGGAACTAAAGATGTTTCGGGGAGAGGGCAGGCACAGGGGCGGGGGTGAAAAGAATTAAGATGCGTTACCTATTCGTACCAACTCCCTACTATGAATGCAATCATTGGGTACTGCAAACATGTACTAATAAAAAATTTAAAAGTAAAATGTTTCTAAAGACTTATAACTACATGGCATTTCTTCCTAATGCAAACAGAAATTACTGCCTCAGCTGCTAGCATACGTTTGCTATTATACTGTTAAGTTTCCATTTTTTACTTATTCTAACTTATGACGCTGCTAAGAATAATAAAGTTCTATTATTGTAAGCATTTACAAATAATTTAAGAAAAAACATCATTGAAGGTACCCCCAATGTGCCTGGGAGGAAAAGCCAGTGCTGTGGGCACATCTAGCACATGAGGGGCGTGTACAGAGATGGAGCCAACAGGAAGCAGACGGCATTCCCAGTGAATGTGTGTGGTTAATGCACAGAAAACAGGACTTCTGTCCCCCACACGCTGGCCAAGCCACCGACACACAATCTCTTACTTCCCCAAAACCACACATCAGCCTCAATGGACACCACACTGCTAGACGCTACGCACTGGAGGAATAAAGTCCCTTGTCCCCTAGTAACCATCGGGTCACAGGCAGAGCCACTTCAATCAGCATGTAGTTTCTTTCCTCTTCCCAGAAACTAGAGGACTGTCCTGACCCAGCTACTTGCTCCTTCTGGGTAAAGGCACTCACAATGAAGCATACATTCAACCACATGCCTTCTAGGCACCTACAGCATGGTACAGGTCAGAGGTCTGAATCACCATGTTTACTACCATTTAAAATGCTTTAAAAGCAGGTCCAACACAGTGATTCAATTAAAAGTCAGCTTTCAACAGGGCACAATGGTACATGCCTGCAATCCTGCTACTCGGGAGGGAGGCTAAAGCAGTCCCTGTTGGTAACCCTAACCTCTACTGATTGCTGAGTACATTCCGGCTACTGCAGTTACAAGTGTAATTAGTAAACACCTTCAAAAACCTACCCAAAGTGAGGATGAAAAAAAGAATTATTAAAATGCATTATGCACAAGTAACAAGTCTCCGTGATGAATATAATCACTGTGTACTGCAAACACATACTAATAGAAAAATGTAGGGCTGGGGATTTAGCTCAGTGGTTCTGCTGCCTGCCTTGTAAGCACAAAGACCCGAGTTCAAGCCCTGATACCAAAAAAAAAGAAAAATCTACCCAAGGGCAGGTAGTGATAGGCTCAAATCTATAATCATGTATTAGCCTATCAGCATTTTAAATTTTAAAACTCACAAAAATAACTGAGTGAAAAATAAACTTCAGTATATCTTTTTTTAAACTAAAGTTAAGGACTCTGGACCCCTACCTCATACCGTACACACAAGTCAATTAAAAAATGTACCACAGCTGGGAATGTAGCTCCCCAGGTACAGTCCTTGCCTACCACATGCAAGGCCCTAACTACTCTCCCCAGTACCAGTCAATGTCTTAAATAGGTTTAACTGTCTAGACCATGAACTTGGCAATAGTTTCTTAGATGTAACACCAAAAATATAAAGGAGGAGGAAAAAAATAGACTGGACAAAATTTTTAAATTTGTGCTTAAGACACAAGTAAAAGCATGACTGAGAGAAATCTATTTTCAAATTATATAGTCAGAATATATAAGAATCCTTTTAATTCAATAATAAAAAAAGACACAAAACCCAATTTAATAACAGATGAAGCTGGGCACACAGTATTCCGGTTGCTCAGGCAGGACACACGTGAGTTAAAGACCAGCCTGAGCAAGATAGAGACCCCCATCTTGTTTACAAAAGGGAGGGGCTGGAGAGAGAATGGGATATAGTTCAGTGGTAGAGTATTCACAGCGTATGTGAGGCCTTGTTGGGTTTAATCCCCAAAAGTGCACCAAAAAAAAAAAAAAAAAAAAAAAAAAAAGAA